TACAGCAGCTTGTTTCATCTGAGCAACCTGATTCAAATCGAAATTTGACTAGCAGAACTAGTTCATTGTCTTCATCCTCATCATAAGGCAGCCAAGTTAAGATGTTTGCATTAAACCCTTTGAAAAATTCTTAAAAAAGCGGTCTACATCAACAACAATTGTTATGGCTAAAACAACTTCACCATAATTCATACACTATCGAGTTCTTCCTTCATTTTCTTTGTAATTTTCATCAAAGTTGAAAGAAGAAAAGCTCATATTCCTAAGATCTGGTCTTACAATCTTATGCATGTATAAATTCAACCACAATTGTATTAACCACCAAGGGCCACTAATGGTATGTACTGGTTCATCTTTCAGTAATTGAACAGATAGAGGGGGATTTCATTGCCGGCTGCTAGACATTCTGTCATGTATTTATGATTATTTGTTGGCCCACAAGATGACACATAGAAGATGATTTTTTTCAACCACATGTTCAGGAAAGCTACATGCTCTCTTTCATCAACAATCGATCCATCTCAAATATGGTTCAGAATATAGCTTGCCCATCCTGTGCAGTCTAATATTTTGGCTAATCTCTTGGACCCAACACTTAAAAAATCATAGGGTTGCATTGATTCTGTTATTATAAGGCCGGTCAACATGTAAATATCGACCAAAGTGATGGTCATTGGACCATGACAAAAAACGAAAACATTCAAAGTGTTGGACCAAAAGTAAGATGCAGAAATTAGAAGTGAGTCATTCCTCTCTATTTCAAACAGTGAGAGTGTCAGGCATTGATTCAAGTCATAAATTTTCTAATCTTTAGCCTTTTCTCTAATACCCTACGAAACCAATCCCTCCATCCCTTTGGCATTTTGGCCAATTTTTAAAGAGAGTTTGGTGTTCCAAGAAGATAAATCTACTACAGATTGTTTGAAGGGGATTCGGTTAATTTCTTGATTGATGAAATCGGACGGTTTAGGGTCGCCCATGGGTCTAAGATAATAGGCATTAGGAACAACAGCTGATAGAATCAGAATTTTGTTCCTCATTTTCTAGAAATTAATTGGGATGAATTTAAGAAAAAGAAAAACACAGAGCAACGACTAACACTTGAAAGACATAAGTTTAAAGGCATACCTCGGGAACGTGATCGCTGGTTACTATTGTAGCCAAAATAGATTTAAATCTGATGAAGGTTACTTGAATGACAGCTTAGTAGAGCAAAGGATTTGCTAGGGTTAAGGCTTTGGCGGTGACGGCTTTGGCTGTTGAATTTTGTTCGAGAAAGAAGGAGAAAGTAAACAGGCCGAGTGAATTGGAAATGATACCGTTGGGGTATTATATAGAATTTGGCCCGAGAAGTCAGGATCCATGCGTTTATTTTGGAATGAGCGGTTGCAACACGGGGAACAGATAAATAGGAATTTTAGAATAAAATTATTTTTATTCTAAAATTGGGGGCATGTGTTTACACCAAAATTTGGAAAGAAGAACGCGGGAACTCGAAGCTTCTAGGATTGTGTCATCAAGGAATCGATTGGATGAGAATCAGTATCAGCTGATTTATATGTAATGTCAGAATCAACTATTTTATGGATGACATCAACAGACGACGTCAATAGATTATACTTGAGTGGCACCAGGGAGATGTGTCGGACTCTACGAATAAGAAAAATTAGGGTCCAAGTTATTATTAAATTAGGAAGTTTTCTTTTATTTCAAGAATTATAATAGTCATATTTGAGTAGGTTTCATGTTTAGGCTTTGGGTATAAATATTAGACCCTTGTTATTATAAAAAGGATGAACATTGAATCAATACAATCTTTTCGGCTTTCGTCATCGCATTAGGAGTAGGAGTACTGTGGATCTCGACGAGTTCTTCAGCAAACAGAGTTGCATCGACTGATCGACCTTCAGCTTGCTTGTGAGTACCGTCACAGCTTGTATTATGCTTGTAAAACTGCATCAGCTGGTTGATCTTTTATGAGCCATAATATAAGGTAGTTATCGATCTGTATCGTAGTTTGTAAGGCTACATCAGCTGATTGATCTCTTACGAATCATAATATAGATCAAAGTTATCGATCTTGTGTTAAATAACTTGTTGTTTAATACAATATCACCAGTTATCGAATCTGCTAATACTAGTAGGATTTTCTTACTGTTTTTTTGTTGATTCACCAGTTATTGATCTTGTTATAATTAATATTTTCTTAATTATAACAAAATCACCTGATTGAGATAGAGTAGATCGGCATCGTATCATCTTAATTGGTCGTCTTCTAGCCTGATCATGCTTTACATCTTATGATTGATGGCTCAATTTCGCTAGATCGGTTGTTCTATTTTATTTTAATCAAACATAGTATGTATTTAAAGACATGTTTCAATCTTGAATAAACTCATTAGTTAATGTGATCTAATCTAATTACACTACTATAGCTGCATCGATCCGGTCAAACCTCACTGGTAAGACTTTAGATTAGAAATTATCGATTAGTGGTCTTATTCATGATCAAGATATGTACTCTGTTTGTTTGCTATGACTGCATCGGCTATGTTAGCCGATTTGCCTATACTCAAGATATAGCATGTTTTCATGAATCTGTTAACATATATATGGTTTTATAGATTCTTTGGCTTTAGTTTGTTATCATTATCATAGCTGTATCGATCCGATCGATCCTCACTGTTGATGATAATAGATTAGATTCAAACTATTTGTAGATTTATTTATATTAGACGGTCGATTTGTTCGTATGTTATACTCTTTTTATGGATACGCTGGATATCGACTATTTAGTCGATAGCCTCATTGAATCGGCTATCCAGTCGTATATTTGAAACTGTTTGGTGCAGCACCGACATGTTCTACCTTAAATTACTGATAAGATTTTTCCTTCTTGTCAATTGCAGGTCAAATTGACTGGCACGTCGTTGGGTTTTTAGAATCGACTGGTTTTGTGTTGAAGCCAAACAGATCTCTGGTCTAGTTCCACTCAGATCTTCCGGCTTACTGTGTATTGATCACGTCGTCATATTTTTGTGTCAACACTATCTTAACTAGTACTATGTTAAGAAATGGTTGTTGAGAAGTGGCTAATGTGAATGTACGTGTTCATGTGTGCTTATATTAAAGGGATCCCTATATTAAATGTCTTCATATGTGCTAAAATGTATGCGCGGGAATATGCTTATATTGCTACTGAAATATATGTGTTCATTTATGTTTAAATATTATGGCACATACTGCTGTTTATTTGGTTCTCACTGGAGGATATCTGTGTCCAAGTTAACAGCTCCATGACTTCATTTTAATGGAACGGTACTTTCAGTTCATAGTTTAATCTTTCAATGGTATTTTACGGGTGCGCAAACTTTCAGTGGTATTTTATGGAGATCGTGATCTTTCGATGTTACGTAACCAATTTTCCCTTTGGTTTATATCTAAAAACTATACCGAGTAGAGCCATGAGAAATAAAATAATCTTTTTTTTTTACATCAAACCACGGCAAAAAAAAACAGTCCTTGCTTTTACTTGTTTGGCGCCTCCGCTTATTCAGGCTGGATCGGAGCAGCTAGATTACTCAATTTTAGAGCTCTAATTGGTAAACTAAACTTAACGGAACAGGCACCACAATTTGACAATGCCATGCCCATGCTAGGTCAATCCAACAATATCTAGAGTACAAGTAGGGGTGAGCTAGCATTCGGGCTATCTGTCAAAAAGTTTGGGCCCGGTGGTTCAGGTTTGCATAAATTTGGGTTACATGCAAAGCTGATACCGAAAATATAATTTGTCTTATCTTACGAAAATAGTACTAACCCGTTTCAAATTACAAGTCGTTTTGATTTTTTTGTTCATTCATTTTATTATGTATCACAACTGCAGAAAAGGAAGAAAGAAAGGTTCCATTCCATTCTGGAGATCGTCGATGAAATTAATATGCACCAACAGTACATGCAGGAAAAATCAAGGAGATACTACAGGCGATCATATCGGTTCACTCTATTAACTGATAAGGCTGTCTCCAACAACAGCAGATTTATTGTGGAATCCAAATTTAAAATTGGTCTTTAATACAATATCTATAGCCTCCAACAACATATCTATGTGGAAGATCTATTTTAGGTGTCAGAAGAGATATAACCTAAATCTGAGTATTCTTTATCTTGTAGACCTATTTGCAGAAAGTTTTATCTTTTGAGTCTTATTATTGGAGAAGACTAAAAATAAATATTAAACTATTTACCTATAACGCTATAAAAAAAACAAATAGATCTTTTTTTTTTTTTTTGGTCGTGGTCGTCGGAGGCGATCTAAGTACCAACTAAACAAGGCTTCGTATCTCAGCGGCAGCGGCTGCTTTTGAGAACTGTAGCAACAGTGACTTATGTCTACTCACCCGCCGAAAGTGGAGCGGAGCAGCCGAACGAGCCCTATGCCTTCCACGGGTGCATTTTGGGTCTCAGCCCACAGCTAGCACAAATATATTAGGTTTTGTTCATATTCAGTTGTAGGTCTCGTTGAGATCTATAATTTTTATATAAAAATTATTTTTATTTAATTCCACAAAAAAAAAATGATTTGATATAATTATTTTTTTGTAGAATTAAATAAAATAATTTTATATGAAAATTATAGATCTCGACGAGATCTACAACTTTCTAGTTTTGAGTTTTTTCATTTAAAGTCGTTAAGATGCTCAAAAACAATTAATAACATATTTAAACTTAAGGGCATTTTCGTCTTTTCACACCTGCAGTTTGACGGCGTTAGAGCCTGAACTGATGAAAGTGGCATGGAAGACCCGAAAAAATTGAAGTAGTAGCGTTGAAGACCGCTGAATTTTTTTAGAGTCGAATTACGATCTTTTATAATTACACACCCGGAAAAGTCTCTAATAAATGTACGTCCCTTATTTTGCAGTTGAGCCCTCCTCTGATCCTCTCCTCCGTGCCGTGGTTCTACTCCTCCGCCTCCCGCTCGCTCCCGCAAATCCGCAATGCCGCCGCCCCCTTGGCCTTCCGCCTCCACCATGGCCACCCGCCTCGCGACCCACTGGATAGCCGACGCCCTCGCCGGCGACGAGTCCATCGAGTTCTCCGTGCTCCAGGGTGAGGCTCCAAACCCTAAACTCCTCCGCCGTTCGCTTGTTGGACGCTTTCGATTCGTCTCTCACCTGGGCTGGTTATTATTGGCTTGTTTGCGGTCTGCAGCGCTGCTGCGGGCCTCGTCGGAGCCCCTCGCGGGCGCCCCGGAGGCCACGCGTGAGCGGGTCGCGCTCCGGTCCCTGCAGGAGCTGTCGTCCCTGATACCCGCTGGGGGTGATGCCGCCGCGACGGCGGGGCTGCTTAGGGTTGATGGCGCCCGGTCATGCGAGGACGTGCTGGTTCGGCTTGCCACAGAGGTGTGTCGAGTGGTTCATATGCTGGGATGGGATGCGCACTCTCGTGATCCACATTTCTCCTTCCAATTTTGTCACATAGATAGCCGCACAATCTCGTTTTGTTCAGTGCTTGTTGCATCTGTTTCTGTTCATGTTTGGAAGCATTTCATTCTCATCCAGGGAATAGTTGCAGCAGTGGGTAGTTATTTGTAGCCTCCCGTTTCCTAATTCGGCGTTGCTGCTTTGTTACTTTTGATTGGCTGTTGGTAGTACAACACTAGTGGTGGTGGATTCATTGGGATGGAGCATGGAATATGTCCTATCCTGGAACTAACTAGATTGTTGGTATTGGGCTATTGGGGATTGGTATAAATCTGGACAGGAATGATCATATCTTGCTAAAATGTCATTGTCACAACTTGTTGAAAGGGAAAAAAAACAATGTAAACATATTGGGGTTAAATTTTTAGGAATCCCTCTCCATGCTAGCAACAGGGATTTGGATTCTGGTGACATGCTCTGAGATATTCCCCAACATTGGCTACTTCCTCCTGTTATGCCAATTATGTGCTGCCTTAGCGCCAATTATATTATATCACAACTGTTATGGCTGTCCTGACATTCTGTTACTGCTCTGCTGCATATACTATTTTGAAGTTGTAGAAGTTAAGTCCTGCTCCCAGTTATCACTTAGTTATCTGTGCTTATTTATGTTTCTGCTATTAAGGCCTTGGGCAGCACAAGTGACTGTGCAAGTACCCAGGCAGTTAGCTGTTTAGTTAATGCTCTAATGAGCCATCAATGTAATCAATGTGCTACTTATCTCCTATATATGAAAGAGCAAATACCTGGGTGTATAATCCCTGGCTGAGTAAAACACTAGGTACCTCCAACAATTGGTACCAGAGCCTAGGTTAGACACCTCTCTCTCATCTTCTACTTGAGCCCCCTTCCCTGCTTTCTCATCCATGGCCTCGACATCCTCTCGGGCCTTAGAAGGAAGGTCGCCAAGGGCGTCAGCGATGCGGAGGACTCCTCTGGCCGGGCCGCGCGCTTGAAAGCTAGAGAGAGGCAGCAGCAAGAAGCGGTCCAGTGCAAATAAGGCAAAGCGGCAGCTGCAGAGAGGAGGCGGCAAGGACCATGTGAGTCTTGAGGGGAGGAGATTGCAGCAGAAGAAGGAAGAAGAGGAGCTGGAGTATGAAGAAGAAGGAGAGGAGGAGGTCAAGAGCTCATGGCGGAGGTCTCCATCTCCGATCCATGAGCGTGGGCATGATGGTGGCGGGCGACGGAGTCGCTCGTGTATGGCTGTGGTCGTATCTGAGGACTCGGCAGCGGTAACGAATCGCCGGCGATCTTGTCCAAAACGAACTACCACGTAATGGAGCTAAGAGATGAAGCTCGCGAATGCGCAGCCCGCGATCTGTGGGACGCAGCTTGAAGGAGAGCGGGTCTCGTTCATGACGACCGGCGGGCTATGGAGGCGATTGTCGCGCGCGGTTCCCAAAGGAGATGGGGATTCCGCTCATCGACAAGTTTTGACGGACGAAGGAGGCGTGGGACGCCATAGCTAATTCGCAGACGGCGGCGGGATGAGGAATCCCGCCTTGACGACGCCGCAACGCATCCGCCGCATGACCGGGAGAACATCGGTGTCAAGTCGAGAGAAGCGTCGAAGATTTTGCCTTCCGCCTCTCAACTCAGATCGACGCCTTGTCCTTCATGGTGATCGTGACATCGGCGAGAGGCGTGTGGTGGAGAAGTATCCGCGCATGTCTGATCTGGTCGAAGTATGCGCAGATTGTGGTTGCTATTGAGCGGTTTACGGACTTTGACATGCTCACGCTTGAGGAAGCCATGGGAGGCTCAAAGGTCGTTGATGACCGTGAAGAGCAAGCGCCTCCGAGCCAATCACCGTCGGCGGCAAGCTCATGTATCTTGAGGAGCAATGGCGCGCGACGCTGGAAGAAGGAGAAGAAGGGCGGCGGGATGATTTCGCCGGCTCTAGTTCAAAGAATCGTGGCAATGCAAGGCGGCGGCGGTGGTGGTGGCGCATGCGCGCGGGTTGGCGAGAAAAGAGCGCGTGGCGGCGCTGGCGATGGTGGACGCCGTGGCGATACTCGCCACAATTGTGGCTGGGAGGCCATCGGGCAAGAGATCGCCTCATCCACGGCAAGAAGACGAGAGATGGTGACCGTGATGGTGGCGGATCGCATGGCGGCGGACGGGGAGGAGGCGTGGCGGCGTGGCGGCCGTGGTGGTAATCAAGGCCAAGACGACCGGTGGCCGAGGGGCGCAGGCGGCGGTGACGGCGTGGCCACAATGGCCGTGCGCGATGCGAACGCGAGGATGATGGGGCTCGTTTACGGGCGCATGGGCTCGTTGATCTTGATAAGTGCGCAAGCATACACCTATGCCGCTCAAGAGGTGAATCTGGAAGAACCAAAAGCCCGCGCCTTCCTTGGTGCCAATGGCGGCGAAGAAAAGGCGGATGGTGGTACCTTGATTCAGAGCTACACATATATGACCGGACGGCGTGAGCTCTTTTTCGATTTTGAACACGGACGCGGCGAGGCACGGTCCGATTTGGAGATGCGTCCAAGGTTGACATCAAAGGCATCGGTTCGATTGCTTTCGAAGGAAGAACTGGTGAGCATAGAGTGCTGCAGGGCGTGTACTATATACCAGCCCTGAAGAACTCCATTATCGCCCTGGGTCGACTTTGACGAGACCGGCTCCAAGGTGGAGATATATCACGACGTGTTACGATTCGGGAACACACCGCCGCGTTTGATTGCCAAGGTGAAGAGAGGGCTAACAGATTGTACACACTCCAACTTCATGCAGCCCAGCCACTTTGTCTTGCAGCATGCAGAGGAGATGTAGCGTGGCAGTGGCATGAGAGGATGGGGCATTTGAATTTTGATGCACTCCGCAGACTTGGGAAGGAGGAAATGGCGCGCGGTGTCCCGGTTATTGACCATGTGGGAGTGTGTGTGACACTGTGTCACCACCAAAATGAGAAGGCGCCCGTTCCCAGCTGCAACACAGTACCGTGCCAAACAGCCCCTTGAGCTGGTGCACGGCGATCTTTGCGGACCAGTGACACCTGCAACACCTGGAGGGAATCGATATTTCCGCTTTGCTCGTCGATGACGCTTAGCCGTTTCATGTGGGCGCGCCATACCAAGCAAGGATGCAAGCAGGCAGAAGCCATCAAGCGCATCAAACCGAAAGCGCAGAGGCGAGAGAGTGGTCGAAATCTGGGGTGCTTCGCACCGATAATGGAGGAGAATTCACGATTCTTTGATTTCGCTACCTCTGCAAGGTAACAAGGCATTAAGAGGCACTTCAAAGGTGCTCCCCACTCACCTCGGCCAGAATGGGGTAGTTGAACGGCATAATCGGCCAAGAGTGGCCATGGCAAGGGCATCGCTTAAGCGAGAGGGCCTGCCAGCATTTCGGTTTTGGGGGGAGGTGTGATGACAAGCGAGCATCCACACACATGAACCGATCACCGACACGCGCGTTGAAGGGGATCACCCATATGAGGCCCGGCATGGACGTTCACCAACTCGGGACACATGAAAGTGTTTGGGTGTGTGGCATACACAAGGAAGCTCGGCCATTGCAAGAAACTTGATGACCATGGGCGAGGCGGGCGTGTTTATTGGTTATGCGAAGGAGCTAAGGCATATAGGGTGTTTGAGCCTCGTGAGCGGGCGTGTCGGGGATCACCGTGATGTTGTATTTGATGAAGAACATGGTCGGGATTGGTCCTCGCGGAATCTGGGCCATCACCGTGAACAAAGAAGTGAATTCACAGATTGAGTATGTCCGGTCGAGGAGGCGAAGCGAACCAAAGACCGCCGCCGCCGCCGCCTCTCGCCCCCGGATTCACCAAGAACACTCGCACCAAACATGCCCAATTGGAGTTGAAGGAGCGGAGGGCTCCGCATCAACTCATCCTCGTTAATTTTCGCCCAACTGCACTGGAAGTGTCACCACCGCCACCAAGTCCTCGGGATTGAGCATGCCACGCCCGGAGGATGATGATGATCGATTGGATGCTTATCACGAGGATGAACCACTTCGCCATGTAATCGCCAAGAATATCATTGGTGCAGACCCACACCGCCACTCGCAACTTCACTGTTCGGCAGAGCTGCATCTAACGACTCTGGCGAACCAACTTCAGAGACATCTTTGAAGCCAAGAGAGATCCGGCGTGGAAAGCGCAAAGAATGAAAGAAGAGCTGCGATCGAGAGAGAGAAACAAGAGACTGGAGCTTGTGAAGCCTCCTGCATTGCCACCGGCCCAATCACACCGAAGTGGGTGTTCAAATTGAAGAAGGACGAACACGGTAATGTTATCAAACACAAAGCCGGACTTGTCGCCGTGGCTTTGTCCAGCAAAGAAAAGGCGTGGATTATGATGATGTTACCGCCGCACGCATGGAATCCGCTCGAGTCTTGTTGGCTCTGGCGGCACAGGAGGTTGGTCTGTTTCATCGATGGACGCCAAGTCCGTGATTACGAATGGAGACCTCAACGAGGAGGTATATGTGCATCACCACTTTGGCTTTGTTGTTGCTTTGGACAAGAAGACAAGGTGTATCGCTTGCACAAAGCTTCGTATGGCCTACGGCAAGCACCAAGAGCATGGAATGCAAAGCTTGATTCAACATTGAAGAAGAAAGGTTTGGACAAAGCAACCATGAAGTCGCAATCTATAGGCGAGGTTCGGAAACTCTCTGTTGCTTGTCGGTGTGTGTATGGATGATTTGATCATCACAGGGCCAAAGAGCAGGATGTTGAAAGCTTCAAGGTGAAATGAAAGCAACATTTGAGATGAGTGACCTCGGGCTCTTAAGCTTCTATCGGGCATTGAAGTACAAGCAGAGCACCGATGGCATCACCCTTAGACAGACTCACTATGCCAAAAGGATCTTTGGAATTGGTGGTATGGTGGATCGCAACCCAAAGAATACTCCTATGGAGGAAAGGCTAAGATTGAGCAAGAAGAAGAGTACAGCCAAGGAAGTTGATCCAACACAAGACTGCAAATTGGTTGGAAGCCTGCGATATTTGGTTCATACTCGACCGACTTGGCATTTGCAAATGGGTTTGTGAGTAGATTTTGGAGAGGCCCACCATAGAGCATCAAGAAAATGAAGCGTATCCTTCAGGTATGTGGCGTGCGACCTGAGTATGGCTCAGACTTCACCAAGGCATCCGGTGAAGCAGATTCATTGGCTACTGTGGACTCGACTTGGCTGGAGATATTGACTCAAGCAAGAGCACTACAGTTGTCTATTCTTCCTAGGCAACAATCTGGCCGGGTTAAGGATCCATTAAACAAAGAGTAGTTGCCTTATCTAGCTGTGAAGCGAGTATGTTGCCATGACTATCGCCGCAACACAAGCTCTGTGGCTGTCCAAAGTTACTTGCTGAATTGTTGGGAAAGAAAGTGGAAGTAGTAGAGCTGCGAGTGGATAACAAATCAGCAATAGCACTTGCAAAGAACCCCATCTTTCATGATGAAGCAAGCATATCGTAATCAAGCAACACTTCATCGTAGAGATTGTGTTGAAGAAGGCAGCATCAAGATCGAAGTTCGCCGCCACAAATGATCAATCTGGCGACATTCTCGACTAAGGCCTTAGGCAAGGCCAAGTTTGAAGACATGAGAAGCAAGATTGGGATCATGAAGATCAAGGATGGGGAAGCAGGTCTTAGGGGAGAACTCAGAGAAGTTAAGTCCCGCTCCCGATTATCACTTAGTTATCTGTGCTTATTTATGTTTCTGCTATTAAGGCCTTGGGCAGCACAAGTGACTGTGCAAGTACCCAGGCAGTTAGCTGTTTAGTTAATGCTCTAATGAGCCATCAATGTAATCAATGTGCTACTTATCTCCTATATATGAAAGAGCAGTCGCCTGGGTGTATAATCCCTGGCTGAGTAAAACACTAGGTACCTCCAACAGAAGTTCTAAGAGATTACTGCATCTCCTTAAGATGGACGTTTTCCCTGATCTTTTTTCTTTTTGCAAAAATCCAGTATTGCCATCAGGCCATCATTTATCACGTGTACATGGACATCTAGTGTGAAATTTTCACAAAACTTGAATTTACAAGATTACTGTTGCTGCATCTTTTTCATTAAGTGTGGCTTTGAATTTTCACATTGTGCAAAAATCAGACAATTTTAGTTGTTTTTTTAAGAAGACATGTAGCATTTGGTTAATGGTTATTAGGAAGCACTTCCCAGTTTCTTGTGTATTTGAGATTTTTGATACATAGTAAAATTTGCAGGTTGAAATTTCCGGAAAATTGGAGAAGGATTTGCTTCCACCTTTCAGTCAAGACATCCAGGAAACTATACGTACCAAGAAACATACATTACCAGAAACTTCTTTCCAGTTGGTAAGTGAAAGAGAAAATCTCAATATTAGAAGTAGAATAATGGCAAGTTGAGTTTCTAATTTTCTCTTCAGCTAAAAGGAGTTGACCCATGGATCACATCTATGACCCCACCATCCCAATTGGAGCACAATGGCACTGGACAATGCGACAATGATCAGACCCTGCGCAGCAGCCACAAATGTGTAAATCAAGAGAGGCCTGTGTTCCCTACAGACAATGCTGAGGTTCAGCAAGACACTATGGCAAATTTAGTCAATGAAAGTGAAACAGGAAGTCTCCAAAAATCTCCAAATCTACCTCACTGTGCCGATGGAGAGGGGGCAGATGATGGTGGGTCCAGCAATCAGTCATCTAAGGTTTCCAGTCATGAAGGACTGAGCGCTCATGCCACAGTAACTCCAGATTTTGACAGAATCAGCGATGTCTTACCAACAGATGCATCTGAACCTGGGCATTTGCCTGAGTGCATAACCGCACAGGATACAACCATGATTCAACAGCCTGACAGCAGGAAAGCTCATCTGAGTGCTCTGCAACATGAAAGGGGTGAGAAAGTAAACCAAGATCTGGAAGATGTCTCTGCAAGTATTCGGCCAGTGGAAAAGGACCACGTCCGTGGGGATCTGACTTTGCAATCTGCTAGTGCTTTACTTTCTATAAGCTGCAATGGTGCTAATCAAGGAAGTAAATCTGAAACCAATCTTCAACCAGGGACTGCTACAGAGGATAAGATGGCATTTGAAGAGCAGAGTGCAGACAAGTCTCACTTAGAAGTCAGTGGTGCCAACAAGGCTAATCAAGCTCTACATGATGATGGCAGCATCATGAAAATAATACGGCCCATGGTGGGCTGACTGCGCAGACTGCTCCGGTGTCTCAAAACTGCAATGTAACCTTACATGATAAATCTTCAGAAGCCAATTGTTTTTCTGAGCAGAAAAATGAAAAGAATGGAACTGATGTTCAAAAAGATAATTGCTGTACTTCTATTCCAAGCTCTTCTAAGGACAGAGATAGAGAAAGTGCAAAGAAGACATCAAATGAGGAAAAGTCTGAGGACACTTTTCCGGAAATAAGTGTCCGTTCCAAGGATCAAGACATCGATGATAGTCTTGAGGGCTTGTCTCAACAAGATTTGTGCATAAAATGCGGTGAAGATGGTCAGTTGCTGAAATGCAGTGACTGTTCTTTAGGCGCTCATGATAGTTGTTTTGGTTCATCGGTGACATTTGAAGAGACCAACCTATTCTACTGCCCGGTATGCTTCCATAAGAGAGCCAGGGAAACATATGAAAAGGCGAAGACATCATATTGCGAAGCTAAGAAGAACCTTGCTGCTTACCTTGGCAGAACACAAGTCAGCAAGGAACATGATGAGCAACTAAATGGAGTCCAGCCAGGTGCTGCCAAAAGAGATGGCCATTCGAATGGGTCTGACATGTTAAAAAGGAATAGCATCCATCAAAATGAAGCATATGACCTTGCTCATCGGGATGAAGAGCCTCATCAGCTGAGGAAGAAGCAGAAAATAAATCCTAGAGGTAATGGTTATCCTAAGGAGGTACTCACTGAGAAGGATCCTTTTCAGAACTCTGGTCCTGCATCCATGAATAAACATTCAGTGCTCCAGAATAACAGCAAAAAACAAATTAAGGATCTAGAGAAAAAGCAGCAAGCGGGAGACAAAGAAGCTCGCAAAGAAGCTGGTAATGACAACTCATCTCATGAAACAATAGCTTCTAAGAGAGGATGTGATCCTCCTTTGAATCAGAACGATGAGGCTGACCAGGAGGATAGTCTTACAGTTTCTAACCAATCTGGTGGCAAGCGATCATCACCACCCCCTTGGCGTAATATGAGACACAGCAAAAAAAGATTGCAAGAAAAGGAGTCAGCTGTATCAAGTAAATCTAGAAAAGGTATTGCAAAGCAGGATCAACAAATGCCTACTTCACCAAGAAAAAGAAATTATGTACGCCCGCAAAAGCGCTAGTAAGTATCAGAATGCAGTTACAGTACCACTTCTTTCCTTTACTTTAGTCTCAATTGCTGTGTTTACAGAGTAAAAACGGTTAATCGATACAGCTTTGCTGGATTAACTAAACATGGCTGAGGTCTGTACCTAATTTAAGATTGAATGATATCTGAATGTGCTGATCTACATATGCAAATAATAAAGCTCTACGTGGATATCAGCGGGGGTGGCATTTGCATGTAGCGTATCTTTTTGTTCTTGTTCAAACAGTTTCCATTATTCTGTTGGCTCAATATCATGGATAACATGGCGGCAATCAGTTTTGACACTATTAGAACTTTTAAGGTCTTAGGCCTTTTGAGGGAACAGAGAACATTAACTATGTCATGAATCGTGACAATGATTTTATGGAAAGCTGATCTCATTTTAAGGCCTTAGGACTTTTGTCATGCATTGTTTTTCAAATTCAGATGAGAGATATTCACATACACATGGTTAGTTCTTAGATCAGACTTAATTGCCATATGCCAACATAGGTACTTAGCATTGGTATTTTGTTATGATTATGCAATGTTGAACACGCACTGATGGTATTACCCTGTGTTATGTGTCATGATAAAATGTTCTGCACATATAAAAAAGAGACCAGAGCATAAAAGTTGAGCCAACTTTCTTTTAGAGTAGTACAGGTCTTGTCTTCTTCAAATATTCACATTTTTCCATCTATTATAGGAAATTTCTTTTCTGAGAATGTTCCATTTAATGCTATTCCGAGAACTGAGCACATGTCTTGCAGTTCCAATCCTGTTGCACCAACTGGAAGACGCGGAAGAAAGGCTTGGACAGAAGCAGAAGAAGCTATTTTGAGGGTAATCATTATTTGGATGTAAATTTTCATTGTTGAAACACCATCTTTGGCGCTGGCTTTTCCCAGGCCAGGTTTGTAGTATGTAATTATGTCTTGCTTGGCCATGTGTATTTATACCTTTTACTGTGGTGATCCAGGAAGCGATGGAAAAATTCGCTCCACAGGATGATGCGCCAATTCCATGGATTTGGATACGAGAATATGGCCATCATGTGTTTCACAAGACACGCCTGCCAGAAGATTTGAGGGTCAAGTGGAGGAACCTGATGAAGAAGGATGCTGGCAATCTTGCAGATATGTAGCCGTTGTAGCCTTTATCTCTTTTGAGTCCACATGGAACACTGATGTGGTACTAGTAGATAGCGAATGTGCTAACTCCTCCTCACTGCAAGTAGGAATGGAGGGTTTCCTCTAACTAGGATGTTGATGCTTGGTAAGGGCCATATATGTAGCAAGCATGAAGCATCTATCAAATTTCTGTGTATCTTTTGGCCGTGGTATCGCGATAATTATCACAGACTATAATATCTTACTTAGTATTGCAGTTGCAATTATGAGAATATGCACGTAAACATGATTGTGAGAAGGGCTAGTTGGTTTGGAGAGAAGCTGACAGGTTCTGGCCTTCTGGGCGTGAATTACCATTACCAGCTATCGGCCAGCATGTGGGCCACATATATTATGCCTAATATCTGTTAGGTTGTCAACCAAAGTTTTGTATCCCGGTTGAGGACGATGGAACAATTCCAACAGAGGAGAGGAAGATCAGATCGAGAATGTGAGAAGAGCACGAGAGGTACGGTAGGAGAAGAGGGAGGGCAGGGCGCTTATCGGTGATGACAAGGACCTGAACCTGACCACCTCACCTGTAAATTCAGTTTGTTGTGCCCTGGTGTGGTGCAATGGCAATTCAGATGCTTTGCTAGCTACCTCTACTCCAATACATACGGTTCATCATTGATTAAGTAGTCGATTGCTTATGGGCCCGCATGGTTTTGCACACATAAAGATTATCTGGAGCATCTATCTATTTATCAGGGGACCATGTATGGATGTGAGGTTACTTTAATCCCACTTCGAAAACTGATCGTGAGAGAGCACATGTATATAGGGTGGACAGCCCTTGATAAATTAATTGGATCAGAATGCTGACGCTAAGACCTGTCTATCACTTGCCTCTATACTTACTGTAACATACAGTATTGAGTTTCATGGTCCTATTTGCTGACACGAGAAAAGCAGCAATATCTTATCTTACTTTTCAATGTCTTCTCTAGACACGTCTACGAAAATGGGCACCTCACTTTCAGCAACAGTGATTGGAAGATTGGAAGACGACCATTGGAAGACGACCAATCTGTCAGCATTAGCCTCCGGGCAGTAGTACAGTACAGTTGCCCGTTCCCTACGCGTTAGTTGCCAAGTGCGCGCCAGAAAAAATAAACACTATAAGCAACTACAGTACAAGTAATCATACAGATTCAACAAGTTAACCTCGTGTTCTCAAGCCCGCCAACACTAGATACAAGCTGGTGAATTCCTGGCTGTGGCGTGTGTACCAAGATCATTCATGGCTGGAAGACTGAATCCCCCCGCATATAGGTTGAGTGATTGATATACTGGCATATCATTTTGGGCGAAAAAGGAAAATAACAAAAGGGCAGGCGACACTTATTACCAGAATCCCAGTCTAACGTATTAAGCTATTACAGCCCATTCCCTGAGTCCCGGTGATTTGTTGATGATAGAAGGCCCATCTGTTCTGTAAGATTAGAAATGTTCCCCACTTTGCTCCATCCATTCTCCTGCGGTGCCCCCCTTGTATCTAGTCCGCCTGAATCAACTTCATCATTATCGGTGGATAAAGGGCTGCCTACCAGGAACTGCTCCCAGAAGGAGTCGATGATGCCGGGAAGGCTCTGAGTCTCGTCGTTGTTGTACATGGTCTCATCAGTATCGATGGGGACACTGTCATCACCTTCTGGCAGGGGAAACTCAGGACCAGGCATCTCAAAGGCTCCTCCAGGAATATTGACAGAGTCTTCATTTACCAAGTCTGCCAGATCTGAGAATTCTGGAATACTCATGTCACTCGAGCCTGCTGTTATAGGCTTTGAAACAGGAGGCACAGCACTCATGTTGGGCACTTGGTTAGACGACTTGTTGTCCAGCACAACTGGGCATTGGATTTCAGGAGCCACTGAAGGAGAACAGATGGCTGACAGTCCAGAGCTTGCGCTGACATACGGCAAACCCGAGTTAGCTGGAACCTCTGCAAGGGTGACCCCAGAATTTCTTGTTGACGAAGAACTCTCAAAAGCTTGAGCAGCTGGCATATAATTCTCCAGCAGAAAATTATTATTATCTGAATTGCCCATAGATTCAAGCCTATGCGAAGAGTCTAGCTTTAGGATCTTCCTTAGCATTGCTTTGGCTGCTTCGTTGATCAAAGGCTGATACTTGATAATTTGACCATCCAACGAACCAGCAGCACTTTCGGAGTCTAGGCCACCATCTTGCTTGGGTAGCCGCCTTTTCTTGTTTGCAGTTACTATTCTTCTTCTGCTGTTCTCGTTTTGCTGTACAAACTGTGCTAGGAAACCAGGACTTTGCATTGCCTTAGCCAGGAAAGACATCATCTGTTGCTGCCGTGACTCCATCCCTTGAAGACGCTTGCCCAAAGTCTGCAGCTGATGGTCAGTTGTTTGCTGTTGCTGTCTCAGCCTGACAAGCTCTTGCATAAGAACATTCTTATCCCTTTTCAGCCGTTCAATCTCTTCCTCCAACCCAAACTTACCCACCTCTACACAGGAAGGCACAGGAGCGTTCTGCAACTGAGGTTGCTGTGGTTGGCTGTTCCCCTGCAAGGATGGTTTCCTTCTGTTGATAGTCTTCAGCAGATGTTTTTGTCCTCTCAGAAAACCCTCATTTGCAAATTCCCATCTGTCTGGATCAACCTTTCTAAACCCCTGGTAAAAAAAGGCACTGATGAGATCGTTAGGGTGCAATATAATTGTCGGCTGAGAAAATCGTATCTCCCAATTGTCGGCAGAGTGCAAATCAAATTAAGGTGCATGAGACTAAATCCACATGAGTTCATCGTTAAGATGCATGTGATTAAATCCAGTCAACAAACATGGGAAAGGTACAGACTACATTATTATTATAAAGACGGTCCAAATGACACAAACAGTTCTTCAGTGGATGTAACATAAATGTCAAGTCGAAACGACTTATCCTGATGCAATAACTAACTCGGACAAGGCGTCAAAAAAAACTAACTCGGACAATAAGTTAAAGAAATAAAGAGCAAACTGAAAGAACAAATCAGCATATGTTCTTACAGAGCATCTTTTTGACTTTTTACAACTCCATAGAGTTATGAACTGTTGACAGCTTGTTGCAGCAAAATGTCTGATGGTAACATATTGCGTCATTTTAAATGTATTTGGACCTGATTAAAACCCCTAAAAAAGTTATGTACAAACTAGATGTAAATTCCTAAAGAACAATTTATCAGAAACCTGACGAGATAATACAGCCTGAATTGGGCAAGAAACACATTTAGCTGACAAAGAACAGTTTTATGGTTTATATGCAAGTAAGTTCATGAACTTTCTTCTAAGCGGCACCTATTATCTACTAAACAAGAGGCACCAGAAATTGTTTGACTGTGAGTGCCAGTAAACATGCAAAAAGAACCAGTCGTCTGTTTCCAAGTCTCGATACATTGGCATCTCATAACAGCACATGATTGAATTGATTCTGAGGCATAATGGATATTCACGAATCATATTCTAGGACAGAAATGCTGATCTATGGTTAGCTACCATGGTTTGAGGTGAAACCTTGAATTATAACAGAATGAGTACCTAAAAGGCACATGTGCTCAAACAGAATATGATGAATCTAGTATAATGGATCATATGCTGAACTGAATTTATGAATTCTTTAGGCGACTAAGAAATACATGTTGAACATAAAATGGAAAAGGGGACATACAGATCTAGTCAATCGCATGTGGCTAGGCCAGGAGGTGAGTCTAGTCTAGTAGGTAAAGAAGAGAAACAAACAGAAGCATCCAACAAGCACAATATTTTAAGAAAGGTACTACCAGGCCAAAAAAAATTATGCCACCAACTCAACCCAACAGATCTTTTTGACTTTTAATCGGATGGTGCTCGGTTTGACAAATGACAAAGTTCAAGAACCTGCTGAAGAAATGACACAATGATGTGTCAGGGGAATCATGTAATTCAGCATGTAAAGAAGATTCTCCCTCCAGAAAAAAAGAAAAGAAACAGTAGTTGTAGGTTGTAGATAAGCAGACATACGAAAGCAGGTGGGATACATTCTCTGCTGTTCTGCTCACATTTGCCTTGAAGAAATATATCAGGCAGTACCAATATTCAGAGCAAATAAACAGTCATGCTGATCCAGCCATAGAGCCAGGGAGGCAAAGGTTAGATTTAGACAAAATCCGGCCGTGAAGTAAAAGCTACCACTACTAGCAGTACGTAGAAGCTACCGTTCAGATGAGCTAAAGCAAAGTAGAAGTAGACGCCATCCTTCCCAGTTCAGAGTTCACACCGTCTACTGATTCATTTTGTCGTGAGTACCTTCCGGGTTGCGACTTGCGACATCCCATTTGTGTGAGCAGTGAGCAGTGAGCACCAAAACAAATCCCAAAGGACGAACAAACAAACAGCGTAGAGAAGACAACGCGAGGCGAGCGTCAGCAGCGGCGCGGGCTAATGACTTACGTAGGTGTTGAGCTGCCTGACGAACGATGAGAAGTTGCTGTGCTTGAAGTACTTGGGCAGGAGGTCCCTGGCGAACTCGGGCGTGTTCCAGACGATGAAGCTGTTGTTCCCGGGGCCCCAGGACACGACGTCGTCCGTGGCCGGGTCGTCCACCATCTCGTACGTCTTCATGAGGAACGGCGGCGGCGGCGCGGCGGCCGCCGCCCCACCGTTGCCCACCACAGCCGCGTGCGCCGGGACCGGAGGCGCCACCGCAGTGGTCACCGTCGACGCGGCCGCCGCGGCGGCGGCGGCATGGGCCACGACACCGCCCTGCATCTCCCGCGCGATCGGTACGCGCCTCAGGCCGCCATTCCGGACCGGAGGAGAGGGTGGTGGGGATCACTCGCGATTGAAGCTAGCTGGCGGGCGGGTGGGGAGCTTCCGTTGGTCGTCGCGCGCGAGGGTTTCGGGGGGGCCGGCGGCGCCGCTGGTGTTTGCGATTGCAGGGGTGGGGAGGGGGGAGGGAAGGGGAATTGGAAATTGGAATTGCCGAGGGGAGAAGGGAGAAAGGGTTGGATATGGCGTGGTTGGGCGCCGCAAATAAAATAGTTGTTTATTGGCGGGGGTGTTTGCATAAAATGGCGCGCGTGGCGGTCTAACCTAAAAGGGGAACGTGACCCCACACCCGCCGTCGCGGTCTCGTGTCTGACCCGCCGTCGCTGGAGGGGAATCCACAGTCCAGAATCTAGATGCTAGTACTATGAATGAACAGGCACCGATGAATGAGGCCCTTTTATATATATATATATATATATATATATATATATATATATATATATATATATATATATATATATATATATATATATATATATATATATATATATATTATTATTATTAAATATAGATTAAAAATAACTAATTGTATGGTTTACGACTAATTTGTGAGATGAATCTTTTAAGCCTAATTAGTCCATGATTTAACAATGTGGTGTTACAGTAACATATGTGCTAATGATGAATTAATTAGACTTAAAAAATTCGTCTCATGGATTACTGATGGATTCTGTAATTTATTTTTTTATTAATATCCGAACACCCCATGCGACACCCCCATGCGACACCCGATGTGACACCCCAAAACTTTACACCCTAAATTTAAACAAGGCCTGAGTAATACTCCTACTACTACGTGCTAGGCTACCAAAGACTCGGAGCTAGGATACCTCTAAAAGTATGGTTCCTGCGTGAAAGGTTCTTGTATGGTTTTGGTAATTGAGTGACAACCTATGTTGACTAATTGTGTTTATATGAGATACACAGGTGATTAGTTCACATGTACATGTGTGTGAGCAACATATACCATGAAGGTGAAAATGGCTCGGAGATGTTGCAAAACTCACACATGTGATGATAAAGGAGCTTATTGCCCATGAGACATGACATTGAGTCATGTGATCAAGATGAAGAAGATCAAGACATGACTTGGCTTGATGAACCGGTTGCAAGCGTGAAGGGCAAGTTGGAAGCTTTGGAGTGATGGACCGCGTAGCGGTGAAGCTTGAGCAAGACTTAACGCCGATGGACGAAGGCAACAGTGAAAAGCAAGTGAAGTCAAGATCGATGAACCAATATGATCACGTGATGATATAAAGTGGATCATATCATTGTTGATCGTGTTGATGCATGTGTTGCATCGACATTGGAGAAGATGGAATGGAATGCGCAAGGCAAAGGTATAACCTAGGACATTTCATTTCACCGGTGATAGGTGTGTATAGAAGTTGATGACCGGGTTTAGAATAGATGGTCGTACTATCAAGAGGGCTAAACTTGTTTATATATCGGTCATCTAGTGCCACTTGAGTGATCTAACTTTGCATCGCCGCTAGGATCGAGTGGCGTGACAAGTTGAGTGGTAAATCCTTTAGAAAATGTTTATGAAAAGCTAACACACATACACATGGTGGTGTACACTTGGTGGTGTTGGCACATTTACAAAGGTGAAGAAGTTGGTGAAGAAAAAGGAGTTGAATGCGTTGGTCATAGGGTGACCGGACGCGTCCAATATCTATACTAGACGCGTCCGGTAATCTGGCCAGGCACGGGCAGAGTTACCGAGGTGACTGAACCTTGGCTCGTAGCAGTGACCGGACGCTGGGCAATCATTGTGTAGTGTCCGGTCGTGGTGACGTGGAGCGCGGGTGTTAGTCTGGAGAGCCGGACACGTCCGGTCGAAGTTGAGCAGCTTTGGGAGCTCTCTGGACTCGACCAGAGGCTGCCCGTCCTGCGTCTGGTCGGTCACACTGGACGCGTCAGGTCACCGTTGAGCAGCTCTGGAAGCTCTCTGGACTCGACCGAACGCTGGCCCTCCTACGTCTGGTCGGCACACCGGACGTGTCCGATCTGACATGTCGGAGAGAGTCGTTGGCGGCAACGGCTAGTTTGAATGGTACACGTGGCGGTCAGGCAGCGACCGGACGCGTCCGGTGCACACGACCTGCGCGTCCGGTCATCTAAAAAATGCCAGTGAAGGGGTAATGGCTATTTTAACCCGTGGAGCTATAAATAAAAGTGCTGGTCGGCCTTTGGCTAGCAGCTTAGCACACTAGAGCCTTGGTGGCTTATGTGGTAGTGCTTGAGAGCCATCTAATTCACTTTGGCTTGATAGTGTTCATCCGGTTGAGTGAGTGAGCGATTCTAGTGCGATTGTATCGTGAGGTTGCATCGAGTGGCACTAGGTGATCAAGTTGCAAGCCGATGATGCTTGTTACTCTTGGAGGTTGCCACCTCCTAGACGGCTTGGTGGTGGTCTCTGTCGAAGCTCACAAGAAGCTTGTGCGGTGCTCTAGATAAGAGCTTTGTGAGGGGCATTGTACTCGCCCCGCGGGAGCCGCGAAGAGCAACTCTAGTTGAGCATGTCATTGAGCTACCCTCACTTTTGGGGTAGTTTCTTGCGGTGCCCGACGTGCAGCCTTGGCAGGTGATGCCAATTAGCCACTGAACCACTAAGTGAGCGATCGACACAACGGGGACGTAGCGTGTTGGCAAGCACGTGAACCTCAGGAGAAAATCATCGTGTCAACATTGTTCTTCCTGTTGGTTTGCATCCTCGTTACACAAGCTTGTAATTACTTTCATATACATTATGCTTGTGTAGTTGCTTTTGTAATTAGTTAGCTTGTGTAGCTTGATAGTTACCTTCTAGCTTGTGTAGCATAGAAGTAGCTCCCTTGTGTCGGTGTTTTGAGTAAACACCAACGAGTAAATTTGCATTATTGCGCGTCTGGGCCGGATGGTGTGCTAAAAAGACACAAGGTTTATACTGGTTTGGGCAGAATATCCCTACGTCCAGTTCATAGCTATTGCTCATGTTATTAGCACCAAAAAGTTTGTAGTAGGGGTTACAAACGGGCGAGAGAGGGACAGGTCCCAAGTCTCTGATGGAAAGGTTGAAAGGGCGCTGAGAGCTTGGTTGCTGCTCAGCTGTGTTATGTGATGCATGGTGTGTTCTATTGATCGGTCCCCTTAGTGGGGCGCCCTACCTTTCCTTTTATAGACCAAGGGGAAGCAGGGATTACAGATGGGAGAAAGAAGAAAAATCAGAGGCAAAGAAGATCCTTCGAAGGTATTGGGTCTTCCTTTTCCTCTGAGTCAGCCCTGCTGACACGGCAGACGGTGCCAAGGATAGCTCTATGCTAGGCGTCTGTCCATTGATCAACAAGTGGTCACATCCCATCCCGCTCTGGTGGGCGGCGCAATGGATCGGGGTGTTGATCCGCAACCCTACGGGGAGCGAACGGCGCAGTGACTGCACGTCCGTCACTAGAGAGGATGCGAGTCTCCTCCTGGACTGTAGTGGTTGTCGTATGGTTCCGTTAGGATCTGCGCCCGAGGGCCAATGGCGGCGCCCACAACACTGTAAAATAAATATCGGTGCCCACAACACTGTTCAGGCTCTGACATGCCCAGAAGGGCCTTAAAGCGCCCGTCTTGTCATATTCTGACGGTACTTTCCTATAGGCGTGCAGGGTATGGTCATCGGTATTGTGGTTGACTTGAGTGTCCTGCCTTATCTGCGCACGTAGTTATGAAGGAGCAGCGCGCAGACATCGGGCGAGGCGGAGCCAACCCCCGGACGTCGGGCGAGGCGGAGTCTGTCCCCAGACGTCGGGTGAGGCGGAGCCAGCCCCGGATGTCGGGCGAGGCGGAGTCTGCCCTGAGACGTCGGGCGAGGCGGAGCCAGCCCCCAGGGGTTGGGTGAGGTGGAGTCTACCCTCAGACGTCGGCGAGGCGGAGCCAGCCCCCGGGGGTCGAGCGAGGTGGAGTCTGCCCTCAGACGTCGGGCGAGGCGGAGCCAGCCCCCCGGGGTCGAGCGAGGCGGAGTCTGCCCTCAAACGTCGAGCGAGGCGGAGTCTGCCCTCAGACGTCGGGCGAGGTGGAGCCAGCCCCCGGGGGTTGAGCGAGGCGGAGTCTGCCCTCAGACGTCGGGTGAGATGAAGCTAGCCCCCGGGGGTTGGGCAAGGCAGAGTCTGCCCTTAGATGTCGGGCGAGGCAGAGCTAGCCCCAGACGTCGGGCGAGGCGGAGTCTGCTCCTAGACATTGGGCGAGGCGGAGCCAGCCCCTGGACATCGAGCGAGGTGGAGTCTGCCCTCAGACGTCGGGCGAGGCGGATGTGACAGAACCGCCCAATTTATACAAGATCAAGTACGGTTGTCCCCGCTAACACGTTGACACACCCATACTTTCACTCATATAAACCCGGTAGTCCGCCGAGTGTCCCGAAAGACCTCGGTAAATCAACATCACAACCAAGATCGCGTGATTAAGCAAATACACATCACATACATCGGGTTGCAGCGGAAATAATATTACAAAGGAGTTAACAATTAGTAGTACAAGTTTGGGGTTTCAAAACCGCTTAGTGAAAACAACATAGCTTTCAAATGATTACATTAATATAAGTTCCAAATATATTGCTAGCATAAAGTGACATCATCCACAAAAGCATATAGATGAGAAGTAAGTATAGAATCACCGAGCCCACCCGGTGGTTAGCCACCATCATCAACAGTGTCGAGAACATCACTTGCAACAAGGTGGGATAAACCACGAGTACTCGAATGTACTCGGCCGGACTTACCCGTCGGAAACCAAAACAATTGACACCAAGGATCATGCAAGGCTTTCTTTAGTGGGCTAATGACTTGTTTGCGAAAAGCATAAGCTATCATGAAGAAACCATTTTAAGTACTTTTGCATCATCTTTATTATGGCCTATCCATCTAGGTAAGCACCTGTACTATAGCAATCACTTGATTAACCAATAACATCCA